ATAAGTCCGTGACATTCTGTTTCTTTTGTGCAGCATCCCTGGCTAGCGCTCTCGTGATACTCCAGTCATTCCATCCTGCCTGCCATCCCTCTACCTCTACTGTTCTCCTCCAGCTCTTTTAAGGTCTTCCTACTGCTCTTCCACCTTGTGGTCAATGATTCTCTCAATGCTTACTGGTAAAGATCAATGCCTCTCAATTGTTTCCACAGTTTGCTTTATTATCGTACCATCAAAAATCTTGGAAAGAATTTCCCTCTGAAATGCTTAATGTTTCTTGAAAAAAAAGTGGTTATCAGTCTATTTACAGAAATTTATTTCTAGTAGTTGTTTGTTTTGGTATCACCGTACCTCTAAACTCTTAAAACTGGCATAAATTCTTAAACGGGGGTTGCCATGATCATCGCCTGATTTTTTTACCGTTTTCACTTTAACCAAACGTTCCCCAATCTACATAACGAAAATGTATTAAGACGGCTTAAAATAGTTTCTTACAGCTCGGTATGATACGACAAAAGATTAGAAATCATTTCCATTTTACTTCCACAAATGTAATAGATTTATATGTAGATTTAGGCAAGCCTTAAAGCGGAGCTCCCATAAACTAAGCTCCCGAACTTTAGTTGACCCCTAAAAGATACCACGGACAGACAACTTTTTTATTATTATATCTTCAAGCGAAAAAATTAACCCTCAAAGATACCTTGACAGCTAAATATAGTAACATCTGAACACCCTAAACGAGACAAAATTAAAATCTGTCGTTTGCATTGCTAAGCGATACAACGAACGTCCCCGACCTTTTCACATGGGGCCCCCCTCCAACTCCCCCCTCCCCTCCTCCCATCCCAGGTGAAATCTCCATATGCACAATATAAAAATCAATACGTGGGAGGGTCAAATAGAAAACCTACTTAACTTTTAAAGCATAAAATTCTCAACGAAAGGTGGCCGAATGAATAACTGGTTAAAGCAATTATCATTCAATATAAATTCAAAAAATGAATTTAGAAGCAAAAAAAATCGTCCAAAAAATTCAAAGACGTACGGTTATGCATTCAGCGTGTTCAGTAAATTATTCACGCTAAAGTGTAATTTGAATATCATTTTTGTCGACAACTTTGCAGTCATTTTATCGGCCGTAGCTTTATCAGTCCTTTA